TCAATTGTTAAACAAAAACCAGGCCCAATATACTACCTAACTGCCTCCCCAGATATTGGAAATACTTTACACAGCGACGAAACACAGCTGATAAAAACCTGTAAATTCTTTGCCATATTGGCAGTCCGAAGGGCTAGAACACAAATGGCCGCTGGATCGGAAAAGTAAAGTAAAAGTCCATACTTTGCCCATTGCTTTGAGAGGCATGCTCATTTATTGAAGTCAAAAGCTCGAGAAATTTCATTGAAAGATTAAACTGGTGAAAAGCAGAAATTACAAACTTTTAAGATGTCTGTATACTGCGCTGGCAACAATTTTGGCAGTAACATTCACGGGTAACATTTTCTTCTTGACACTTGTGAAAAGTCAGGGGCCATTTTCCAGTATCTTTCTATGACATGCTTATGGTCAAATTCATATAAATTAACAAGGATCATAGAGACATATTATTTGTATTATGGTGCCATTTGAATCCTATTTATTCTGTAAAGATAATTAAGATGACTTAGAGCCTGAAAACATGTGACATATATATATAAAAATGCATAATTCATCTCTCATAAAATCATAAAAGTAAATTGTGTGTATATTGTTTTGTGTATGTATTATCCCATGTGTTTCAAAGAGAACTAGAGAAAGAGAGAGAGAGAGAGAGAGAGAGAGAGAGAGAGAGAGAGAGAGAGAGGGGGTGGGGGATGGGGAGTAGATTAATTAATATAGATGGAATTAACAGGCAGGACTCACACACTGAATCAACAAAATATCAGCGTAATTTTAAAAAATAGTAAAGAATGATAGCTCAAATGATAGAAAAACTTGTGGCAATATTAACAAGGATCAAGTCCTTGTTGCTTCTTTTCCCCCCCACATGGTTTTGAACTCCATCAACTTTTCAATGATTGGGGTGTAAATTCCGGTACGGTCACAGTCATTCTCATCCTTCCTCATATTATATATCCTCTTAAATTGTGATTGTACAGAGCAATCAAGTGCTCTTTCTCTGCTCTAAAATACTATTTTCTCCATCAAATTTTAAAAAATGTCAAACCCAAACAAACAAACAAAAAAAACCAGAAAGAATTATTTTGAAGCAAAACATTTGAATTCTTAAACATACATTTCTTTTGCAGTAAAATGGGTTTTTTTTAAAAGCCTATGTATGTTTTGAGCTTTATATGTCATTCTTATTCAAGTCTTTATCTGGCAAAGTATCCTTGATGCATCTTTTTCATCTCATTAGTATCAGGATACCAAAAGAAAAAACTAAATCTTCATTTCATAAAGCCTCTTCTCTTTTCATAATAACAAATGTTTTGTTAATCCCCCTC